CGAACGCTTAATCTCTAGACTTATTAGTAACAGCGGCCGTATATTTTATTCAGCTGGTATAATTTTCATCGGCTTCATTAATCAGTTGAATGTAGTATTTAGTCATTTAAAACTGATTATAATGAAGCTACGTATTTGACATACCACTTCATTCAACCCTTTCTTATATATAGCTGATAAAGAGCTTGGAAAGTATTATTGTAGATAGTTTTTAGTATAAAAGTTTGAGTAATAATGGAACGATTTTACACCACACAAGAAGGGTTCACAACAATTTCCTTCAATAGAACATACGGAATGTAGCTAGTCGTGGGATACAAGACTCGTTTCGTCCTGTTTTGAACTCGTCAACTGGATGCATCTGTATCGGCGTTAAATTAATATCCATAGTCGTTGTATAAGTGAGTGACTTGCTGGAGTCAGTAGCTATGTGGATAGCGTATTGACATTTAAAGTGAGCAATAATGGGTTCGAGTCCCGGAGTGAACATCAACTCTGGGATGCATGTACATTCAGCCGATGATCTCAAATAGGACGAAAGGAGTGTTATGGATTCCACTGCTCCCCATACTCCATTTGTTATATGTAAACTTTGGTCATGATTTTTTTTATCGATGAAAGTCACACAGAGGGCACATATCTTAATTAAGACTGATTTGATATCAGTCAAAATATCAACAACGTGATAGCTCAAACTATTAAAAACTAAATTAAAGTTCCTTTAGTAACTTAGTTATGTGAGCAACAATGAAAATATTGTAGGCCGGTTATTAACTCTTTGCATATGTTTATCTTATAAACAAAGGTGTTACGTAACTATGGTGTATCAAAGACTATGGTGACAAAATATGCTAAATGTATGAGAAGAGGACAATGAATCATGTAATAATATTACTAGCTTTCATTGATGAAAAAATTGATAAACACCTAAGGTGTTTTGGGAGATCATCCAATCATGCAAAATTTTGTGGTCCTGTGCTTTTAACCCGCTACTAATATGAATCAGTTTGTCAGACGTAGTAACTCAGATGCTAGACTATATTATTATTATTGCTCGCGAATAAAAACTCAGTTAACTTAAGCACCTATGGTTGTTTCGAAATACTGATATAATCTGGAAGTACAATTTAAGACACATTTCAATCTCAAGTTCTATTTAATAGTTGTCAATAACTCTAACCACAACATCAATACTCTTACACAACAGCTGTATTCTGTTCTAACCCTAGCTACTCTAAAAGACAAATCTTATTAAGAAAAATGTACCATAAGAAACAGCAAAAGTGAATTTATATTCACTTTGATTCAATAATATATCAATTAATTTTAACGATTATGAACTAAGCAGTTATCACTCATATGGTAAAATAAAAAAAGTTAATTAATACAATGAAATGTTGTGAAATTCAATAAACCAACTTCTTAAAGAAGGAATTAATGCAATTAGAATGCATTGAGATGTACTAAGCAGACTTCACTTTTAACCAATATGTCAGTTCAAAAACTGAGTTCTTTCTTAATGTATATAGTAATTTAGCATCTTTAACAGACCTGTTAAATGAAAATATCATCCTACTTCATATTATTTTCTTGATGCTCGGAGAGTTAGTTAATTTATGATAGCTTGTAAATAAAAAAATATTTTAGTTCAGCATTCAATTGTCCCTCATAAATTCCTGACTGGAGTCCTGAAGACAGCCTAACTCAATAAATTAAAAGGTTAACAGGCATGATTCGAAATAAATGTTAATAGCTATTGTGCTACAGTTTTCGATTGTACTCTTCATATACTGTAATACCCACCTTCTAACTTAGTGAAATATATGCTAGTTGTGTTCTTGTTCGAATTGCATCTCATACTACTTAATAGTGTTGATTTTTCTTAATAATTTTTCTTATGGTTTTTTCACAATATTTCCATTTTGTGTAACACATTACTGGGTGCTGTAAATAAATAACTTCCTTTGATGGGACAGTATGATTAGTAATTTCATTCTCGAATTCTTGATATTTGAATAAACAATTGATTTTCAAACCACATTTATCATCTGATTATCTAGGTCAAATAAAATGAACCCATAATTCACTAATAAGAATTCAGTTTTGTATAGGCTATCAAAATAAAGCTTTTGAATATAACATTATGCACATAGCCGGACAATAATTTATAGAAAGATTGATATAAGTACGCAACTTAATTCAACCTAATGTCTAGTTGTTTTAACTCTGTATTTATATAATATTCGCTGTATTGTGATTATCGTCAAAAGGTTTTTTATATATATATCCTGCTTTAAGCTACTTAGCTATTTTATAGATGGTTATCCAATCTGAAGATAAGTTTCATCAAAAACGAATATCAAGTAAGTATAGTTAGAATTCTAATCTTCTGGTTTCCAGTCTTTGAAAGACCTAAACCAGTACTATACTACTATCTAGTACTCCTTGATCTCTTAGTACTTATTTAACTGAAGTTGGTTAATGATGAAAATTGGAAGTGTTGTAGTCTTTAAGCTGGATCGTTTAGTTGTGAACCTTTGATTGTTCTTCTAAACAACATCAAGTACTTCCAGAAGAAAATTATCTGAAGATATAGTAGTTTGATACAAAAAAACTACTAATCTTGAGATAGTTCTGCATGGAAAATCTGTCTCACTTTAACTGTCGTTCAGACGTCTTATCAGTGAACACTTAACATTTTATTGATATTAAAATAAAGTTTTGAAATATAATTGTTTTTCCCTAGTTTTCATAATAACTTTACACTTAAAATATGCTTGTTATCGTTACTATTTGAGATGTTTTATAGTAGGGGAAATGTTGAAGACATTTGGATGTTTGGGACTATTTTTCAGATTGTTATTATTACTTATTATTTATGTATAATTTTATTAAACAATCGGATTATTGTATTTGTATATTCTCACTATTGTAGGCTTCTTTAAGACCTATTAACTATTGTTATACGATCTATTACTTCTTAATTATTGGTAATTTATTATGTACCGTTCTCTGCTTACTTATAGCATGATTGTATGTAAAGTATGATTTCATATTTGGGATGCATTGCGATAACTGATAACTCATGTATATATGCTAATGAGTACTTAAGATAGACAATATCGGGCGACTGAAACATACAATAGAAGCTTGACTGCTATATTTTACTATCGGACTGAAGATTGGGAACAGAAGAAGGGAATACGATCAGGATTAATAGGAGTTGGGGTCACACTAAAGCTTACCAGTCAAAGCACGTAACTGGTCTAAGCTTAGAATGATACAAGGAGACGAATTAGTTTACACAGTTGTAGAGAAATTATAAAAGGAATTCTGAATAGCAAATCTAGCAAGTAATCTCGTTTAAAATCGCAAACATAATAAATTTTACTTTTGTTAATAACCTGAATATTTAAATAATGGCATATGTCGTCATCACGATCATATCTTTATAACAACATTTACGTCGAAGTTTATCTATTACTTAAATTTAGTCAATGTTTCTTTGTGTATCACTTTTTGTCTCACTGTTTTTAACGTTCAGCCATTCAGTATGTTAGTTCACATACTTTAGTCTTTTTTATGGTGATGTTGTAAGGTCTAAAGCTCTGTTATTTATTTGTTTCTAAAACTTTAATGATATACTTTATATTATCATTATCGTCATCCTCATCACAATATTGTTATTATCGTCTAATTAAGGCCAAATGCGCAATGTTCTCTGTATATTTTTATCTTAAATATTTTTCTCTAACCAACTAATGTGATACTTTTTTCAACAACACTCATTAGGCACTGTATTTTAATACTTTGATAATAAGAGAATTAAGATGTATTTTTTTAAAATCTTCAAGTCAGTTTTTCTGTTAACGAGAAACAAATTTTATTCAATCGGGTATGACCCCCTAAGAAAAACCACCTACTTCGGTTTGGGCACCCGGGCAGTATCACAGCCCTCGCACAAGTCAAATGAGGTTTGTGTGGCACATATGTATTTGGTGCCTCCTTGTACCAATATCTATGTGTTCAAATAAAATAAAATAAATAGTTTCAAGTGTTTCTGTTCATTGGACTATTGTTCTATATTATTTTTGTCCCGTCGTGTTTCTAAATTCCCATAATGATCCTGCCTTTACATATATATCATTATTTCTTTTAAACTAAGGCTACTTGAATTTTATCTTGAATCCAGTTAGCTTCATATAGATATAGAAGTGTGTAAAAGTTTTTAATCGTCCTCCTTCAAATGAAAAAGTTTATGATTGAATTGAAAGACTTTATTCAAACCAATCTTTAAAGGTGATGAAAATCATTTTCTGATATACACAGATGGTCTGTTCTAATCGCTTTAATTATAAAACAAGTTTGGTGCTACATACCTGATTGTCAATATATTGCTACAGTTTGATGGTTAATCTACTTGGCTCTTACCCATTGAGTTGTGGGTTCGAGATACGTTACATGGAGTCATTAACTGTCGGTTTGATCCATCTTAACATACTTAGACTACCTGGCCAGTGATGGGGACATTAGGGTGACATACTTCAGAATTCTTCACAACGTTGCAGATCCATTCACTACTTATCTGCCTCTCGATTTCGAATTGCATTACTCCTTTATACATACCTTTTCATTCTGCCATTCTAAACCAAATCTTTAGTCGTTATGATTGTCATTGTTATTACATTATTTCTATCTGTGTTGCAATCCATCTTGTTATTTTCATCTCGTGCTAATATGATGTGGCGAATTATGTCAGGCTCTTCGTTGATGTTGACTGACTATGTTACAGCTGTTTTGCTTTGTTCGATTAGGTAGCATCTGTAATTCTCATATAATATGTATTTCACAAAAAGAGTAATCTAATCTCATTTTATCTAGCACACAAATAGAATAGGTTGTTTCACATTTCCTGTACACGCCTGCGCTTATTCACTCACATGTGCACAAAATAAAACTAAAACTTTTTCATGCAATTTTTAAAATTTTTCATGTAGACAATGCCAGATGAAGCCATTTCCTTTATTCGGGAATATATGCTTGATCTCGATATTTGTAAATGTTGTATCATCCGGTTAACTAATGGTCGCTGTCAACAAATAGATTTACTCAATGTCTTTCATTCACAAGCATATCCTGATGAGTTTATATGTAAACTTTGTTTTGGCCTGTTGCATAATCCTTATTTATGTGATATTCCACGAAATCTTAATGAATCACAAAGTGAAGTGGAATTTACCAATGATGAATTTGATAAATATATTTTGCTCTATTTATATAAGGAGTTAAATGGATCCCATTATCAATATACAGCATATCAACTTCGGGTACGTGAGTAAATAATATTCACTGTTTTTACTTTTTTTTCCTTGTGTTATGAAGCGTTAAGCAGTGGATATGAAACCACTAAATAAAGTCAGTTATTGGTTACAGGTAGGGCGAAGTACCTATTCTGGATTCCACTACTAAGCACAATCGATATATATATACTAAGACTTGGTCTCAGTTAGTTGAAGACAACCGATAGAAAATTCTCCGTAGTTTTCACTTGTCAGTTAAGCATATGTGAGACGTTGAGAGAACTGGTTCTTATACTTATTCATTTTTGTGTGATCTGGACCACAATCATTCCATGTCGCTTAATATATACCGCTAAGATTCTAGTGTCATGGAACTCGAGCGATGCTTTGGACATTCTCCTTGATTGTTCTTCATTGTTTAGGCAAGAAAAACTGAATGCAATTATGTGTTTTGTTATTAACGTTTGAAACAGATATACAAGGGGAGTCTAGTGCTCCAAACGGTAGTTCACCTTCCCTAAACCAGTCTCGTGTCTACTTAATTCCATCGACTGACCTTCTTTATCTGTTACACTATACTACTTAGTCATATTCAGTAGTCTATATTTCATAATTTTTATACCTTACCTGCTATATGACTTTGTCGTAACAAACCACTAATCCGGTCCATTTGTACTCTTATTTTAATGTTTTAGTTTGTTTCCTCGCTAGTAGTGGTATTTACTCGATCATTGTTTATGTTCCAATCGGAAAGTTTTTTATTTTGAAACGGCCTACCTACTTTTGAAAGAGCACTTGTGCCATTTTCGTTTGACGCAACCATATATTGTTATCTGACTTGTAATGCTTGTTACAAATGTATCTTTATGCGCTTCCATGAAATAAGCACTGCTTTCCTAGCTATTCCTTTCATAGTGTAATTGACATCTTGCGATTTGATCATCTTGAATTCATAGTTTTCTACAATAGTACCATGATTTCAGTCTCGATACTTTCATCGTAAATCAGTTGTTGAGTTTGAATTCTCTCATAGGGTTTAATTTATATGTAGGATACAGACGCGATATTGTGTTTTCCAGTTATTTTGGCTAATTATTTCAATGTACTGCATGTATGGAACATTTCGGTATCAACTTCATGGTTTATGGTTAGTTTTCAATAAGAGCTGTGACACTAGCTAAAGAAATATTTGAATGCAAGATTACTGATTATATTTTTCATCTTAGTTCAGAACTTATCAGCAGTGTTGACTTACGAGTATTTCACACAAAATCTATACACCTCGTTTCTTATCATCATTATAATAGTCATGAATAAGTCTATAACAAAATGGTATTAAGTAAATTGTTCTCATATTATTCTTAATATTGCTACTAGTAATTGAATCTAGCCAAGTTTTGTTTCATTTATGCTATTGTGTTTCTTTTTTCGATTAAAAAGGTCACTGAACCGATCAATATTATGCTACGTGAACAATTTTTATGGGATGAATTAATTTGTATGTCGACTAATCATGTAAACAATAATTCGAATAGTAGCACTATTGAGAAATTGAATAATCTACAGACGAAATTCACTAAAGATGATATCAATGCATTGAGATCATATGCTATTCCAGTAAAAACTGCATGGAAATGGATTGTAGATGGAAAGTTATCATCTTTACTGAAAGTGAGTTTGTCATGTTATGTATTTTTTATTAGTCTCACAATAATATATGATTTTGAAGATGTTTTGTTCTTTATTTGAACTGTCTTTCTCGACAACATCATCAATACAAACTTCAGTAGAAAGTAAGTTATTGGAATTTCCCCAAAATTAACTACCAGCTTGTTCTGTTGACTTAGACTTTGATTAATTATTATCCATATGTTTGTGTGATTGTTTTTTGTTTGTTTACCTTAATTGTTTTCACATCTGACCTGAGGTCTAGGTCAACAAAACAAGTTGCCAGTCAATTTCGGATAAATCACTGCTTATTAGAGTTTGTTCTGATGATGTTAGGAAAGATAGTGCAGTTTCAAAATTAATCCATCCATCTCAGAAATCCGGACACCTTCAAAACTCTCATCTTAAGTTACAGATATTCTCCATCATCGTAATACTATGGGAGTGTATTTTCAGTAAATCATAACATAAGCTCACCATCAATAATTCTAACAGCTACTGATATGTGTGATCAGAGATACTATCGATCTGTGATTTATTAAACGCAGACATACCCAACTACACTAAATATAAGAAATTATTTTATAGAGTAAAATTCATTCTACTTACTAATTACTCGATTCTTTGTATTAATAAACTCATACTTTGGTCTACATCTTGTTTTCTATCGAACTGTCGGGTAACTGGGTGATTGTATCAAGTGACCTAATGTTGTAAATATCTCAGTCAACACTAAAACAATTACTTCAAAGAACTTACTACTTTTAATTCTTAATGGAATTATCGAAAAGAAAATCTTATTTACTGAATTATATTAATTGTTTCACGATAAATTAAACATCTTTGTTGCATGAGCTTCATTCTTTTTTATCATCTATTTATAAGTGTCATCACCAAGCTGAGTGACTTTGATTTGAATTTCTAGAGAGTATCAGTTTCGTTAAATTTGTAATCATATCTTTCTAATGAGTGTCAAGTATCACGAAATGTATGTCTAGAACTTTCTACCGATCATCTCAAAACTATTTAACATTTAAATATGCTAATTTCAAAATGATTCAACTACCCTGATACTGTGGTGCATGCTACTTATATTGATATAAGTAGTATATGACGCGAGTCAGAAATGTAATGTCTGGCAGCAGAAGATGGGGAAGATCAAGAAAGGAAGAGCGGGAATAGAAAGCAATCAGTATGGACATGCAAGAACAATGCAGTTCGAGACAATTATTGAACATTTTGCAAACTAAGTATTATAGTATGGTTTTTCTATTTTACCAAGTAACTCTGTAGTTTTGTGCTGAATTTAATTCGGTCGTCCTCACCTGTGTTCTCCTTCACTACATTACTGTACCCATATTTTATCTCCTAGAACGTGAGTGGGGACAATCGGATGTATTTAACACAACATTACAGAGCATCTCAATAGAATCTGAGAACCATATATCAAATCGTTAATTTGCAAAATGTCCACTAATTGTTTCAAAATGCCTCAGACTTCATTGTCCTTGCAATTTCATACAAATTGCATTCTATTCCCGCTCTTGCTTTCTTGGTCTTCTCCCATCTTCTGCCGCCAGACATTACATTCCTGACTTGCGTCATAAACTACTTATATCAATATAAGTAGCACGCACCACACTATTATTATTATTATACTATTCAATAAATGCTCAAAATTCATACCTCATAATGTAATATGTTTAATATAGAATAGTCTTGTTTCTATATCATATATATAGGTTCCATTGATTTACTCTCTACGTGATGATACAGAATTAAAATTAATTAAAACCAATGAATTAAATATTAACAATTCAAATTGTGATCAAGAATCCAATATTATTTGTTTAACTATAGAATTTTCAAATTTCTTGATACAATTAGATTATGATGAATTTTTGAGTTATTTAGAACATTCTCCATTAAATTCTATACGTTCTTGGCTTATACGTTTAAAAAGTGTTAAAATACCACGTAAACGTTCAAGATTTCATTATGATAAAGAATTAACAACAAAAACATTTTCTTCTCAAACATTAAATTATAATAAAAATTCATTGATTATCAATCCTTCATCTGTGATTAATATTGGTTATACTTTGCCAAATTTATTACATTTTTCTCGAGGACTTTTAACAGAACTTATTCCTTTATTAAAAGATAATTGTTTACAATCAAATTATTTAAAGAGGTAAGTATCATTTTATTAGTTTTTAGAAATTTCATTATTTTATTTTATTCATTTATTTAAACACATAAATATTGGTACAAGGAGGCACCGACTATCTATATATATGCCACACTTCATCATTCGATTTGTGTGAGAGGCGGGATACTGCTCGAGAGCCCAAACCGAAGAACGTAATCTTCTTAGAAGGTCACTACCCGAGCCTTTAACCTAGAGGTCTAATGCACAAGACAGTGGAGCAACGTTAGGAGATGCGGTCCCAGAATCCTGGAGCCAGTGTGTACTATTGATTTGGAATCAGGGTTTTCCAACTCCCCTAGGTGGATCTTCCGTATCCACCAATCTGGTTAAATTGCAAGACATTCGCTTTCCATCCTCTCAATTTCGTAAACAATGCTCACACCACGAGAAGGCAGTGAGTAGGACTTCTCTGGTAGTGGCTGTATACGCGGCCGTACCAGGGTATTTGGGGGCTAAGGTTTGATGAAAATGACTAATTATTACTATCATGAACTGTCATTAAAAATTTACGAACATAGGCTCTTCTCTTGATGTAACTACAATCAGTCTTATCTGGAAGATTTATTTTAAGTGATATGGCTTAGGATCTGTCACAGTGACGTAGATTCATTTATTCCTTATTTACCCTTAAATCCCGAGTTTCAAACTGTCTTATTTTTTATCACACAAATCCGTTTTTTCCTATCGAATTATATTCGAATAGTAGTCTAATGTCTTCTTCTCTCCCTGGTATTACTGCTTTTATTACTCCGATGTTCATTTAAATAATTTCATCTTAATATAATGTTGGCTAATGTACATCTTTTTGTAATGTTGTATGCTGCTTATTACTGACTGCGATATTGATTAAATCCACCAAGAAAGAAATGATTTCGTTTGAACATGTTCAAATTGTCCGTAGGAATATATCGACAAGTGAGTATTTCAAAACATCAACGATCCAATAATAAGAGTACATAAAGTGATTCGGCTGAAAGACAGGTTCAAAATTATACGAAATGAATTATTAATAGTTAATTATCAGAATGGGGATTTTTGGAAATTGTAGTTGAATTCGTGAGTCGATTTAACCCAGACCAACAGTGAAAACCTGGGAGCACTAGACGGCCATTCTGTTCTAGTATGGGACTCCTCAGCAGTGCGTATCCACGATCCTGCACATGGGACTCGGATTCAGGACCTTCGGTCTCGCACGCGAACGCCTAATTAATTTGTTAAAAACAAGTCTTTCAAAACTTTTTCAAGATAACATCTCTAACATAATTACTTAATATTTCTTTAGCATTGATCCGAATCTAATACTAGTCTTCAGTTTATTGGAATTGAAAAATAATTAGTTGTCAGTTTAACAAATCTCATAGTTACTGTTGATTAAGCCTAGTACTACTTATTTTACGTAAATAAAAGTTGATCTCTATCCAGTTCGGTAGTTCAAATTGGTTTTTGGTTACTGAAAATCTCGATTTAATTATTTATAAGAGAAGGCATAGTTCATTATGTTATATGGATACTTCAGATAGAATACGTTTTTTTTGTGATAATAAACTTTAGGCAGAATATTTCAAGAAACGATTTTAAAAAAAGAGTATTCGCCACTCAATTTTAATCAAAACTTCAATCCAATCAACATTCAATACAGTCATTGAAATAAAGATACTATATTCGTTGTATCCAAATAGAATATACTGTCTGTGTGAATCAACTCACTGATAAAATGATTATTAAAACACGTTTCTTAACCAATCAGCTCTTTTCCATGTTTCTAAAGAGAAATGTAAATCAATGACTAGTCGACCTTATACATTGTATACGTTTTCTATGCAATCCTTGTACAAATAAGTTGTGTTTTCTTTTACCTATTTTGATGCTTGTTTCGATTGTTGACCTGATCAAATTCTCCTTGTTTTCAATTTCTGTACTGTGTCTCATCCTTTTGTTATAAGTGAATAGAGATTAATTCCCTTTGAACATTAATTCATAACTGACCGATTTCCCCTACAAATTTGTAACGTATTAGTTTATTTGATAAGGAATTACCTACGGAATATATATCCCATCTAAATAATCTTATACATTCTTTTTCTCTTAAATTCATAGAATTTCTTCAAGCAATTGTTCACTTGCATTCATAACATCTTTGAAAATATTTCGAAGTATACCACTTTATTTGGCTGGTCGTTATGTGAAATTAAGTCGACGTTTGCCTCAATCCCCATGGATAATTGGATCACAGCGTAAATTAGATTCATCTGTTGAAGAACTTATCACTCAATTAATATTACCTCGATTTGGTGCAAATTCTCAAAGTTGTTTTATTACAGCTGGTAGAGAAGATGTTGATGTTAGGTAATTTTCCACTTTTCCCCATCTTTGAAATTTTATATGTTAATTATTTTATAGTTTACATCAAGGGATGACCTTAGTGACACAACCATTGAAAAGCAGGAAGCATTAAACAGCTGTTTTGTTCTAACGTGGGACTCCTCAACAGCATGCATTCACGATTCTGCTGGGTCCTGTAAGTAATTCATTGAGTTATAGTGAGAAGTGGAATCTAACCATGTCGTGCGTGAGGCAGTTGTATCCATCAATAACATTTAACAGTGGTTATGCAGTATCGTGAGTTGACTGAAGGTAGACATATACACCATTACATTCCGGCTCTGGTCTAGAGGCTAAGCGTTGTTCGCCAGACCGGAGGTCCTGGGCTCGGTCTCCGGTGGGGTCTTGGATTCTCACTGCTGAAGATTCGACTATATATATATATATATATATATATATATTGCTAGGTTTGAAGCGGTTACGAGTTCACTTAGACTGCGAACGGAACAAAGACTCAGTGACCAAAAAAACGATAAGCTAGCTATTTGATGCTTCTCAGCTCCGCTAACTAGAGGAAGAAGTCCAAGCCTGGAATAGGGGAAGTATATTCCTCAAACATCCAGAAACGAGCGATAACAACAAACACAAATCAAAACGTATATATACAGCACAAAACCGTCCTTGGGGAGAGTTACAAAACAGCATACTAAAAGACACAACGGACCAATGGCATTTAAGTTCCTCCCAGGTGGGAAATAAGACAAGAAGGCGAAAATGAGCGTTTTTGGCGCGAAAACAACGAAATTCAAAATTTCTAAATGAAATTACAAAATTAGGTCATTTTCCAAGTGAGTTCTGGGGATCTAACGTCCCCAACACACCTTCCCTATTTGATAGCGTATTTTCCTGGGGTCGACTTACATCTTGACTGTTTTCCGCCGCTGTCGTAGGGGCCACCTTCTGGAACGGAGATCAGCTTGTTGTTGAGCTTCTTGTGGTGGGGCTGCTGGTAAGTTGAAGGTATCAAGCAGGATATCAAGGGGAAGATTTACTCCTGTTGATGGGCAGTCTGGGGCTATCCGCTCCCGCAGTTGTTTTCAATGTCTAGCCCACATGTCTCTTCCCACCTTTACCTCGTGTATAACTTGGCTTAGTCTTCCAACTACACATGCTTCGGTCCAAGGACCATGATTTACTCTGTAGTTTCGAGCGAACACCGGGCATCCAACCTCGTACGTTAGCAGTTTCTGAGATTTGTTCTGAGATGGTGGTGGTGTGGTTCTTGGGCACATCAGGATCTCTGCCGGGGACTTCTACCGTGGTAGCATATCACTAGGTGTTGTTCGGTAAACAAAAAAGGAATTCTGTAGTGTTTCTACTGGCGTCCCCTCCCCTTTCGACTTCATTAGAGCTCTCTTGAATATCCACAAATCGTTCTGCTTGGCCATTTGACAGTGGGTGGTAAGGTGGAGAGCGGAAATGTTTGATCGGTAAGCGTTTGCAAAATTTTTGAAAGTGACTAGATGTGAACTGTGAACCGTTGTCAGATACGGTTACATCCGGTAATCCGTTGCGTGAGAACATCTCCGTCGAAAGTTGCATCGTTTGGGTAGTCGTTGGTGGAATGACGGGAACGATTTCTGGCCATTTTGAAAAGGCGTCAACAACGACTAGATAGGTGATTTCATTAATCGGGCCCGCGAAATCGACATGTATCCTGGACCAGGGATATTCAGGTTGTGGCCATGGGACCGGTGGCACTTTCGCATTACATTTCGCTGCCTGCTGCATTTGCCTACTAAATCCACGATGTGTTGGTCCATGAGGGGCCAATAAGCATAGCTTCTGGCGATGGATTTCATTCGTTTTATACCAGGATGACCAGTGTGGAACTGCTTTAGAACCCTTAATCTTAGGGACTCTGGCACCACTACTCTATCTCCAAACATCAAGCATTCATTCACGACACATAATGAGTCCCGACGGCCAGCCATTGGTGACGTATTTCACCGCTTTCTTAATGACGGAGTCGTTCCTGGATGCAGATTGTATTTCAGCTACTGAGACTGGCAAAGCACGAACAGCAGTTGTCAGGTAACATTGCGCGTGATCTTCTGTCATTAGGGAGGCAATAAATGCATCTTCGTTGGCCGTGTGGCGTTCGCTGATAAGTCGTGACAACGCGTCATCCTGACCAAGCTGTTGGGTGCGCCGGTACTGGATGTCAAAATCACAACCCGAAAGTATCAAAGCCCATCGCTGGAGACGGTTTGCAGAATGGACTGGAACACCAGATTCCGAACCGAAGCTTGTGAGAAGAGGCTCGTGATCAGTGAGAAGAGTAAATCTTCGACCGTACAAGAATTTGTGGAAACGGCGTACTGCAAACACTAGGGCGAGAGCCTCTTTCTCTATTTGGCTGTACTTTCGTTCCGCTGGAGTCAGTGTGCGGGATGCATGCATGATAGCTTTCTCTGTTGCGTCCGGGAACTGGTGTGAGATGACAGCACCGAGCCCAAAGCTGAAGCATCTGCAGCCACAATTATTGGCATGGATGGGTCGTAGTTCGTCAATAATAGTTCGGAGCTAATGATGGTTTTCAGCTTGCAAAATGCAGCTTAACACTCTTTTTTCAGTTCCAAATAGTATTCTTATTCAGAAGATAATTTAGTGGGGCGCGTATATCATGCATCGACGGAACAAAAGCTAAGTAGTAGCTAATTAATCCCAAGAATGATCGTAGCTCAGATATATTAGTGGCAGTCAGCATCAGTTTTATAGTTCGTATGTTTTCAGGATCTGGTCTGTGACCCGCGACATCAAAGATGAGTCCCAAGTATTTTACTGACTTCATGAAAATCTGGCATTTTTCTGGGCGTAACCGGGATCCGTTATCGCTGATGCGTTGTAGTACAGCTGTCGAGCATTCTCGAAGCTGTTCTAACGATGTGGCCACATTTAAGATGTCATCAAGATAAGTCGCGACCCACGGGATACCCGATAGATTGGTATCCATTAGTTGCTGAAAAATAGATGGGGCTGTCTTAACACCAAATGGTTAGCGATTGTACTGAAACAAGCCACGGTGAGTATATATGGTAAGTAACTCTCTCGAATCTTCAGCCACTTCCACTTGTAGACAGGCATCAGCGAGATCCAGCTTTGCAAAAAACTTTTCGCCATTTAGCATAGTGAACAGATCTGCAGGAACTGGCAACGGGTAACGATGTTGTTCTAGAGCTGCGTTAAGACCTAATTAGAAATCAGCGCATATTCGTATTGTGCCATTTGCTTTCTTAATAATCACAATGGGTGCTGCCCAAACAGAATAAGAAACAGGTGTAATAACTCCCTTTAGTTGAAGGCGATTGAGTTCTTCATCAACTCTCTATAATGCTGCATACGGCACAGGTCTCTTTGAACGGAAGACATACCTAGCTCTAGGTTTCAACCGAAGTGTTGCTTTCATAGCAGTGCACTGACCCAATACAGGCTCAAAAATGGTTGAAAACTCTGTCACTAGCTTCTTCGTATATGTTTCAGGTTCATGGGGTTGTTCCACGAGATGGCATACGGTGCTCAATGGAACGTCAGCTAAATGCAGCTGGTCGAATCAATCTAAACCAAGTAAATTTAGATCAGCTGGCGTTATGTAACATACCCCAGTGAACGTCGAATCGTGAAAAGACACTTTACAATCTAGTTGTCCCAACAAACGTAGATAATTACCGCATGCAGTACGAGGTTTTTGTGTTGTTGGCACAGTGCGTGGTCTGCCCATTCTGATCCAAGATTTTCGTGAGAGATTTGTCACGTCAGATGCAGTGCAATTTAAATGGATGCCCATTAATATTAAGGGTAATAAATTTCCTCTCACCTGAGGTTGAGTTCTGACAAGTTTCTACCAGACTCAACGAGTTTTTGCAGGATTTAGAGACAGGCTTCCTAGTACTTCTGAAGCTGCTCGGCCTCTTTTTTGACAAAACCCATTTTCACGACCCACAGCTTTACATTTCCTGCACCGATTTTGTTTATATGGAGAGCTTCGAACAAAATGCCATGCACCGCAGTGCCAGCATGGGGCAAGAGGATTTGTTTTTGTCTGTTGACCTGAACTAGATGTTGCTGGGGCAGATTTATGCGGGTTGGGTGGTTGTTGGAATACATGAACTTCGGTATGATCTGAACCATCACGCTGGACCATCGTAGTGTCACGCTGTAGATTGATTTGACGTTAATGTTCGTTTGCAATATCATTAAGAGTTAGTTTTGGGTCTTGGTCCAATCGACTTGGCAAGCGTGTTCTAATGTCACTGAACTTCTGCGATTGAAGGCTGCAGGTGAGAATAAGGGTTTTGAATTGGTCTTCAGTAAGCGACTTCAACCGGAAGCGTTCGCATTCTCGGTTGACAATACCCACATGCGTGAGAAAATCAGCGTCTTCGTTCACAGCTTCAAACATCGATAACGTGCGTTGAACAGTGAAGAGTTATCTTCAAACTGTTGACTCAATGACTGAACGGTGTCCGAGAATGAGCGGTCACTTGGGTTTAGAGGCAGAATTAAGTTGCAATATCTATCTAATTCACTAGGACCCAGTTTTCGAAGCAGCAAACGAACTTTTCAAGCATCATTCTGATTAGCGAAATCAAATTTGAATAAGTTTTTATAGCGTCGAAATCACATATCAAATGTGACATTGGAATCAAGATCATAATGAAACTCTGAGATGCTATTCACAATACCATCAACTGACGGTGCAGAAGTAGTAGTATTAGAAGTGCTTGGTTGCGTGTTAGGCGTAAGCTTAGCATCTGCTAACATTTGCATCTAATGTCAACATAGTTCACGCAACGTCGAGTCACCTAGACTGGTGGCCACATTGCAACTCGATCGATAGCATTCGATCTGCACTAAGAAGGACTTGACACACATGACACTGATCACCACCAAGTGATCAATCAACTGTGATATATATATATATATATATATATATATATATATTCTTTTTTCCCTCATTGGCTTATTATCATAGAGTATGTTGTCTAAGTATGTATGAGTATTCTCTAAATATTTCATCAATTACATTTTTTTGTAAAACTGCTTTGAATATGAATATTTCTAAACTAACATCAAAAGCAAGTACATTTAATATTCTACAAATAAATAAATAAATACGTACCTAGGAGAATGTTAACTCGTCTAATGTTGGCATCGACTAGCCAACTCTATTAATTCAACTATTTCTGTGGACCAGTTTACATCGGCAAATGTTCTAGGAATTTTGCTTTTCCATACACTTAAGCACCTTCCAGCGTGGTCAAACAATTACCTAGTTAAAACAGTCGACAGCTCTGTTCAAATTGACTATACAGATTCTGCATAAATCGATCGTTTACAGTAGTTTGTCGTGTTAGTGATTATCTACTAAAATCAATCAAATCATCCAAATATGTTTATTTATTTATCAACTTTTAGATGCCTTGGATTGGGTCGGCCATTCGCAATTGAAATTAGCAACTATGAATTATTACCGTCACAAATTATTCAACAATGGTCTGTTAACGATAAACTTGCCGTAGAATGTAATGAAAATGAACCATTGGATTTATTGAAACTTGCATCGTTTGTCAATTCGACAACTCAGGGTCGAGTGTTTATACGTGATTTACAGGTTGGTAGAGGGAAAAATGTGCTTTTCTTCTTATTAGATAATGAAACTCTCTGTCCATAATAATCTTTTTCGATATTGCTAGACAATTTTGTTTCATTGATATTAAAACAAAAATCTGACATTTGTCTGATTAAATTGAGGAAAAAGCAATAACAATCATCAGAAGCCCTTGCACGTATCTGAAAGCTGGGGAAACACTGAAAATACTTCCTTCAGTCAGCGTTCAATAGGCGATTCCCAAAGAATTCTTTTCATGCTTCTAACCTTTTGTCTTTTGTTCGTTGTTGAAGCATTGAAGATTCTAGGGAACTGGAAAACGATTTGAAGTCAGTATCAGGCATCTATCTAATAGGCATATCAATAAATAAAATAACTTAAACTTGCGACTTTGGAGGTTTTGCGATAGCAAAGATTTAGAGTCAAATTAAAAAGTGGTATTTGGTCAGAATTGGTTTTTTAGACAGTGTAATGTAAGATTGGTTATTGGCATTTGATATTTAAAGCAAGGTTAATTACTGCACATGACTATAAACATTTGCATCCAGATTATTTTATTCGGGATTATCTAAAAATAATCAAGATCGCGACAAAATAAATTAAACCAATTCGATTAATTTCTACTTGTTCTACTAGTCTGATTGTAGGTTTTTGATAGTATCTGAATATTCTGTTAGTCAATATGAATACCGGTGATAAAAGGAACCCGATTCGATAATGAACGCATCATTTCTCTGAACACACTGGGCTAGTAAACATTACTTCAATACACGTAAACAATGAGCGGATCAACAGTACGAAAATCTAAAGTTGTTTATCTTTTTTGGCCTAAATTTCGTTTCATCAAACGCCTGTCACATGACAGAATTAATTGTAGTAGAATATAAGCACACAAAATTCTCCCTGTCGTGTGGTGCGTGCTATTTATGTCGATGTAAGTAGTATATAACGCGAGTTAAAAACGCAATGTCTGGCAGCAGAAGATGGGGGAAGATCAAGAAAGGAAGAGCGACAACACAATATAATTTGTAAGAAAACGCATGAACAATGAAATGTGAGACAATGGATTGATGTTTGCAACAGGAACAGTCCAGGTTGATATGATGCATTGATATTTTGCAAATTAACGATTTACTATATGGTTTTTTTATTATACCAAGTAACTCTGTAATTAGTACTAAATACAATTCCGGTCGTCCTCACTTGTGTTCTTCTTCACTACAGTCAGACATATACTATCAATGTATGGAATATTCAAGACGAAAGTGTTTATTTATTTATTTGAACACATGAATATTGGTACAAGAGAGCGCCAATATATATGCGCCACACAAAACAATGAGAATTCGAAGAGAAGTAGAAAAAAAAACTAAGGAGCGCAAAAGAAAAAGAGAACAATGACGAAGAGATTGGAGTAAGGTAGTGTGGTAGTAACGACGGAACGAAAAGGTACAATCAGAAGAAATCTTTCAGGTAAAGGAGACACAATCACTTTTTATGAAGAAAGTAAAAGAAGGTTACAGCAGGATCGCCACTGGCTTCTATTCTGAGCCATATCTGATAACGTCTCTAGCCACTGTGTAGCACCATCTCTCAGACCCCAACCAGGGAGTCGTGAAGGACCGACACAAGCCAGTCCTTTGCAGCTTTCTTTCATGCCACGACACCATGTCATGCACTGACCACCTCTCCGCTTCTTCCAACCAGTCCCAGAGTCGGCAAATAATGCACGACGTGGAATTCTCTGGGACGACATTCGGAGAACATGTCCAAACCACCGAAGTCGGTGTTTCAAGATTGTGACACCAATTGCATTATCATCTCTGTGCCCAAACACACGATGCCGAACCTCTGCATTACTGACATGGTGTTGCCACTGAATGTCAGCAATCCATCGGAGACAGCGATGATCGAACACAGAGAGTCGTCTAACGTCCTCAACTCGGAGAGGCCAGGTTTCACAAGCATAGAGCAAAACTGCTCTCACCGACGCGTTGTAGATCCGACCTTTTACAGCCAGACTAACATCACGAAGGCGCCAAAGGTGGCCCAGATTGGCATAAGCCGCTCTGGCTTTCACTATTCGTGCATTGATCTCATCACTCACACCCCCACCAGCACTTATGCAGCTACCCAGATACACGAACTTCTCGACTACTTCTATCTGCTCACCATCCAGGGTGAGTACAGGATTAGAATCCTGCCAGTCTTGTAGAAGTACTTTGCACTTCGAAGGTTCAAAGCACATACCATACCTACGGACACTGATTGCCAACTGATTAAGTGCGGATTGCATGCCTTGGGCATTATCGCACAGTAAGACAATATCGTCCGCATACTCAAGGTCGAGAAGTCTTTCTCCAGGTAACAGATCCACACCACCATTACTTACATTCATCAGAGCTGTTTCCAGAATGTCATCGATGGCAAAGTTGAAGAGGAATGGTGAGATTGGGCAACCCTGCCTAACCCCACTGCTCGAATGGAACAATGGAGAGAGGTGGTTGTATGCCCTCACTCTGCCTGAGGTGTTTTTATATAGGGCTTTCAGGATGTTAATAAACTTCTCAGTCACACCCTTCTTCAATAGACAATCCCAGAGAACAGTCCTATCCAACGAATTGAAGGCAGCCTTGACGTCAAGAAACACTACGATTGTTGGCCTTTGAAAAGTATGGCGGTGTTCTAACATTTGGCGGAGGGTGAAGATATGATCAATACATGCTCGACCAGAACGAAACCCAGCCTGCTCCTCGCGAGTCAATCTTTCTCGGGTTTTGAACAACCTACGAAGAATGACGGAAGCCAATAGCTTGGACGCAATCGGAAGTAAACTTATCCCCCGATAGTTGTTACAGGAACGACGTGAACCCTTTTTAAAGATAGGGACAACTATCGACTCATTCCATGACGTTGGTACACTCTCTAGTTCCCAAACCTTTGTAAACAACGTCGTCAATTCCTTAGTCAAAAAGTCACCACCATCTTTAAAAAGAGCCGGAGGTAAGTCATCTGGGCCAGGTGATTTGTAACGCTTCAAGAGTTGGAGTTCCTTGCGGACTTCCTCCTCATTTGGTGGATCAGTCGTCACCGGCCATGGAGGGCAGAACAGTCTGACCGATGTTGCCGGAGAAGCAGGCCAGTTGAACTGCCCTTCGAAAAATTCTGCCCATCGTCCAAGACGTCGATGGATGTTAGTGATTGGCATCCCATCATCCTCGCAGATTGTTTCACTCACACCAGACTTCTTGCTGCCAGTGGCTCGGATGAGCTGGAAGAGCTTCCGGTAATTACCAGATGCAGCTGCTGCTTCCAGCTCATTAGCACGCATCGACCACCAGGCTTCTCGGTCCTTACGCAAGCTTTGTCCAATTTCCTTACGTAATATCCTTCGTTTATGGTCAAACACACGGTCACCCGGAGTAGACCGACGGGCTTCAATGAGTTGTAAGGAACCTGGAGAAACCCAGTGCTTAAAAGCGGGACGTTTCGCAAACCCACAACTGACTGTTCCTGCCATTTTCATGGCGTCATGCAATTGCAACCAATGCTCATCTATACTTTTCGGTGGAGTGGTAGCTAGCCTAGAGGCTAGCTCGGTTCGATACTTACTTGCAACAGAAGTTGCAACTAGCTTGCTAACATCAATCTTTTGGTGGTGGTCACTTCGTTGGCCACTGAAAAGTAAGGCAAGATTGGCGCAGACCAAGGCATGGTCAGAGTCCAGATAGGTGCTCCAAAAGGAGCTGCAGTCTTGTACACAACCACGCCAGCGGTAGCTGATCGCGATGTGATCAATCTGAGTCCAGGCTTGGGATGCAGAGGGAGGACGCCAGGTGGCACATCGGCGATGACTGTGCCGAAAGTTAGTGCTAGCCAGAAACAGGTTGTGGTCTGTGCAAAGTTGCAGTAGACGGTCCCCGTTATCTGACCTGCGACCAACGAGTCCCCATCGGCCACCTAAACGACTCTCTTCTGTGCCTAGACGCCCGACCTGAGCATTCAAGTCTCCGGCTAGTACTACAATATCTGTCGAACGCACTTTCTGGAGAAGAACATATAACTGGTGGTAAAACTCATCCTTGATTGCATCCGGGCTGCAATCTGTCGGGGCATAGGCGGAGATGACGAAAAGACATCGTTTCTCACGCCGATTTCTTCTCACTTTGATGGAACTCTCTAATCTAACAGCACATAACCGACTGTTAATGGGGATCCAATCGACTAGTGCTGCCTCAGTTGTAGCGCTTAGTGCGACACCAACGCCAGCAAGACCAGACAAAGATGCCACAGGGTCCCCGGATAAGCGCACGTAAAACAAGCTTTTCGAAGTGACAGATGGAGATCGAATTTGTAGTACTTCGCTAGAGTCTTGAATACGGGTCTCGGATAGACAACAAACATCAATATTAAGACTTTCCAAAGACATAGCCAGCCCTATCTGTTGTCCGACCTGCATAAGTGTGCGAACGTTGAAGGCAGCCAGTTTGAATGGTGCACGTGGTTTCAGAAAAACTGCTTCAGTCCTCGTATTCGGTGGTAACGTACAATTTTCAACCGGACAGTGACTCGAGAACGTTTAGATACAGTCGGATTTCCACCAAAGACGAGCCGCTGTATAAGTATAAAAGAGGGTGAATAATGTGGATAATAATAACAATAATAATAATAATAACAATAATGACAATAATAGTAGTAATAATAATAATAGTATTAATAATGACAATAATTGTAATGATAATAATCTGAATCAATTGTTTGTTTTTCAAAGCGAGAAAGGTAATTTCCATAGGCATAAAGAGTTCATCAATTTGTGTGTGGGCTGTGATACTGCCCGGGTGCCCAAACCGAAGCAGGTGGTTATCTTAGGGGGCCACTCCCCTAGCCTTTGACCTAAAGGTCTAACCCACAAGGCAGTGGAGCATCGTAAGGAGATGCAGTCCCATGGTAGCCGGTGACCAACGATTGGTTCATACGCCATTTGTTCCCTCAGGATACTGGAGCCCATGTGCACCATTGATTTGGAACCCGGTTAAAGCACCGGACATTCGCTTTTCGTCCTCTCATTTTCGTAAACAACACCCTCGCCACGAGAAGGCAATGAGTAGGACTTCCCTGGAAGAGGCTGTATACGCGTGGCCGTGTGAGAGTATTTCGAGAGGGAGAGCGGACTCTCCCCACTCTCGGCCGTACCAGGGCATTCAGGGGGCAGTATGATTACCTCATTTTACAGAGCTAATCCGACTTTTTATCAACTCTGGTTGAATTTAATCACAACTTTTATACGAAATACACTTTTCAATCTATGGGAGTTTTTCTTCTAATTGATTTTTGAACTAACAAGATAACTAATGATATCAAAACCATTGTTCTTCATAGTGACGATATTGCACTTCATCTGAAGCTAGAAAGTGTTGGAAAAACTATTTATTCTACTATGAGATTCTTTATCAATACACAACTGCAACTTTATATTAGATGTCATGGTCGCAGGAGCTTTCTGAACCAACCAATAGTTTTAAAGTATCGTGGTCGCTGAGAGATTTTCAGGTCGTGGTCTCGACACATCTCGAGGTTGAAAAGTCCCAGATGAAGACGGAAATCCTATCCAGTGTTCCTATGTTTTCAACTTATCAGTTATGATTATTTTAGTCTGATGAATGACCCTAAGTAACATGTGGATTTATTTTACACTGTAGAAGTTGTTTTGATGTAGTTGATATTATTGAATAGTAAATATTTCGTATTATTTTAGGTTTCTGTGTAAATAGGTTTGCAAACAATTCGTACTTGTTTCAAAATATAATCGTTTCTGTTAATTTACATTTACTTACTTAGTTAGTCTCGTCAAAATCTGCTACAGCCGCATTAAAATTAGGTGAAATGCACAAAGCCAAATGTTATCGAGCTGTTTGTTGGTGTCCTCATGGTGGAATTAAAACTGAATTACTTATGAAAATGTTACAGTATACCACTTTGTTAAATCGAACAAATGAAAATCTTGATCATGTTAACATCATTCCTTGGCCTCCTAATAAAACAGATTCTATGAAATATGGGAAAATTTATTTTGGTCCACTGGATATTAATCAACTTACACCTATACGTGTATTGCATAGAAGACCATTGTTAAATCGTAAAAGAACCATTTACCATTTATGTTTCATGTCTTATGTGGAAACAATAAAATCTAATATTTTCGAGGTAAAATTATTGATTGATATTGTCTTTTTGTTTATAGTAGTACATATATATGCTCCGAAAACATTCGAAAGCATCTTATCCAATCAGCGTTCACTAGAAGTTTTGCCAGAAACATGTCGAGTTTCTGATTGGATGATTACTTATACTGCTACTATGTTTAGTAGCATTTCAGAATTTTTGGGAAGCCCAAGGATATCTAAAATCCTATAAAAACCCTAGATTTTATGTACATAAATGAACCTTTGGAGTAAAGTGTTTCTTACATATTTCGTGCCTTTTCTCTCGTATTCAACCTGCTATGTAGTTCTAGTCTGAGGGTTACTAGAAGAGCTTAGGAACCAAATCTAGAGTTCAATTAGCAAGACTTATCAATTAACACAAAAGTATTATCATTTTATGTACTACGTGCTTTAATGAAATCTCATTTCTGCTAACGACTTCTGCAAAACGCTTTTTTTATATCAAGATTGAACCGTTGATTAAATATGTTTAACATAATAAAAAAAACCCTCTAAACCATTTGCTTGTTAATAATCTAGACGACATACTGATTCACTCACTATTAAACGGACGAATTAAATGGCCACTACTTTTTAATATATTTTTTTCAACTTGAATAAAAATCTACTTTAGATTAATTTATTCTTGTTAGTATGACAATCATTAATGAATAATAAGCTAACCAATTCCTTCCTTATTGAAACAGTCTATTTTTAGTATTTGTACAAGTAAGGAGATAGTAGAAAGGGTACATTGTCTTACTTCGTAAGTTACTATCACAAATGGAATCAGTAAAAAGTTTAATAAGCACCACAAACTATGAGCATTTCCCTGACTAGTATTCTTTTGAGTGATCTTAACTGTACCACTTATAAGATATTTATAGTTTATGTCAATTTAATGTTTACATAAGTGCTTTCTAATGATTTTTAATAGGAACCTAGTGATTTCTTCGTACGACTAGTTTTTCCAATCTTTTAAATAAGTTATTGACATATGTTTCTGTCAATTACTTTATTATTAGTTCGGATACATATTTGTGAAATCAGTTCATCAAAATGAATGATTGGACTTAGATATTACATCTTCAGTTGAATTGATTTCATGGTACATCTTGTTCTCTTGTTGAACCGAAATATGACTCATCAACTCATTTAAACTGGACCACTGAAAAACACAACTATCTAGCCCCTGAATTTTTAATCTTGAATATGATTGAACAATATCATAATCTTACGTTTCTTTTATGCCTGAATATTAAATATTTCTTTATACCTGTACAGGTATGATCAGAATTGGTCTATGAGCATAATCAAATAGATGAATATCACACATAAGCTTCATGAACTGCAAAACAATACACAATTTGCTATGTTTGAAGCGACGAGTTCACCTAGTCTGAGAATGGAACAAAGACTCTGTAACTAAAGACCAATAAGCTAGCTATTCTGATGAGTCCCAGCCCCGCTCAATAGAGAGAGAAATTCAAGTTCGAAACGGTGAAATATATTCTGCAAGCAGCCAGAAGCATGAGCAATAACAACAGGCACAAATCAAACGTATATATACTGTATAAAATTGTCCTTGGGAAGTGTTACAGAATAGGATACTAAAAAATACAAAGAACCAATAGCGTTTAAGATTCTCCCAAGTGGGAAATACGACATGAAGGTGAAAATGAGCACTTTTGGAGCGAAAACAATTAATTCAACTTTTTAAAATAAAATTACAAAAATAAGGTATTTACTAAGTGAGTTCTGGGGATCTAACATCCCCAACACAATCCTAGTTGTGAGAGAAATTGTAAATTCCCGACCCGGGTAAAAAAACAGTATGCACATTAGCAGTTTATCATTAAATACTATCAATTGATAGTAGACTTTATAATTTCAACATTAGGTACAACTTAAAATGAATCTCCAGAACCCAAGCAAAATGTCTATTAATAATTTCTGATTCTATCTAAAAATAAACTTTAAATGTGTGAGCTTCATTTCTAACTTAATGTTCCAGACAAATATTTGTTTGTTTCACGATATATTGTACATCTACTTGTTTTCTATATTCATAGTTCGATGACTTTAAATCATGGTCAAAACTATATCCAGAAGATGAACTGTTCATATTAGAAATTCGTTGTGAAGCTGGCACCTATGTGAAAGAACTTGTTCATGGAGATCTTGGCCGATGTAATCCTAGTTTAGCAAGTATATTTGGTTGTCAATTAGATATATTAGCGTTGGATGTAATTGGTGTTGAACTTGACTGGCCTACACGTCTTAAAGATCCTATACTCAATTAATTTGTAAAGTGAAAATATTTTTATTGTAAAAAATTTATTTTTAACAGAAACGTAATTTCTTTATCAAGGCATTGGATATTCCATAATAGTTGATGTGCAAGACCAAATTGATTGGTCTCACTTATCACATTCCCTTTTACGTTATTTGTTCCAACACTAACTACCTAGTTAATGATAAAGCTTTTTTATCACAAAACCAACTGATAACTACCGACTAATTCGTCTGGAATACACATAATTGCAATCATAGCCAGCAATCTTTAGCCACGACAAATCTTCTGAACAATCACTTGTAATGATGTGCTAACACTATCCTTGTTTCAGGTTTGGCAAGACTGTAAAATTAGTTTGTTCATCTTTTAATGAAACGATAACTTGAGTATAATCCCATAATTATAGGCAAACGGCATCATAAATAGAAAAACTGTACAATATAACTTGTGGACATTTGCTTACTTTTCCAATACAATTAACACCACGAAATCACTTAGTCGAAATGAACGAACCAACATCCATACACCCATTTATAAATGGCGGTCGTCCGTTTAGTTTAGACACTCGAGTTCTAACCAGACGATTCAAAAGTTCACATCTGAACAACTAGCTTATAGCCTGATTCATGGATGTGTAAGAGGTGACTGTCAAAGTGACCGGCACATAATAAATGTCAGGAAAGGACTATCAAGCAATCTGAAGATTCATACACCAGTCAAACAAGGCAAGTGAACTGTTCAATTAATTCACGATATGATTTATTTAAGTAGACAGTTAGTTGACTGACTGAACGAAATGGCCCCAAACGGCTAATAATGGATCTGCTGTCATTCACTAAGTATTTCATTCAGTCATTTACAACGTAAGACCAAGCTCAACAAGATGAACATCAAATTCATTGAAGCAGTTACTTCGTTGGTAATAAAAAAGATTTCATATAAGGACATGATACAGGGAGAAAGAATTAGTTCGTAGAAAAAAAAGGTAATTCTAATCTCACCGTTTAGGGGAAGTCTAAGAGTGTATACACCTACTCCATTGTGACCGATTCTGAGCCATGTCACTCCAACAATTGGTTACGATAGTTACGCGGACCCCAACCAAGTAGTCTGCATCTACCAACATGACTCAGACCACAAGTTAGTAACTTCAAGCACTGATGCCATGTTTTGGTTTGGTCGCTCCTAACTTTCTTCCAACCATCCCCAACACTAGTCAGCATTGCGCGTCGTGGTAATCGGTGTTCAGACATACACAACACGTGGCCCAACCATCTCAGTCGATGAAGATTCACAACCTCATCAACTGGTTTACCATCATTCCCAAATACTTTGCGTCTAACCTCACTATTACCTGCCCGGTGATCCCAGCAATATTTTTAAGGCATCTGTGGTCAAATATTAGTAGCTTACGAGTATCTTCTACTCTTAATGGCCCCATTTCGCAGCCGCAGTATACTCGTCCTTTTATTGATAGATGGATATCTCGCCTTCGCCATATGTGACGTAAGTTGGCGAAAGACAAACGAGCTGTTTGAAGCCGTGCTGATATTTCGTCAGACCCCAATCCATTAGGGTCGACCAAACTTCCAATATAAATGAAGTTGTCGACGCGTTCGACTACTTCACTCCCTATACTTAGTTCAGGTGTTGACGCAGACCAGTCCTGAAGCAACAACTATCGTTTACAGGATGAGAAGCGCATCCCAAACATTCTGGCATTGTTGCTCAGTGTTATCAAGACTCTGCATTTTATCAGCGTCATCTAGATTGCTAAGTGGATTCCCTGGAAGATCAATGCCCGAAAATTCAGTCGATGAGAACGTTATTTCCATCAGTATGCCTATGTTGAAGTTGAATAAAAATGGGGAAACTGGACAGCCTTGACGGATACCACTTGAGGTTGCAAAAGCAGATGACAGTTCGCCGTAAGCTCTCACTCGACTAGTAGTGTTCGAGTAAAGATCCTTCACAAGGTTTATGTACTTCTGAGATACACCTTTCAATGACAGACACTGCCACAGAACCTATCGGTCTACAGAGTCGAATGCTGCTTCTAATTCAAGAAAGACCACCATTGTCGGACGTCGATAAGTATGCCTGTGTTCTAGAACCGGACGAATGGTGAATATGTGGTCGATGCAGCGACGACCAGGTCTGAAGCCAGCTTGGTTCTCTCGTGTTTGCAGTTCACGAGTCTTTAGGCGTCCGATAATTATCGAGGCTAGTATTTTAGATATTATATTGGTTAAACTAATCCCTCTGTGATTGTCACAGGATGATTTTGACCCTTTCTTATATATTGGGACGATAAGTGATTGCGACCAGTCAGATGGAATAACGTCTAACTCCCAGATCTTAGCTAAAATATTAGTCAACCTAGTCGCTAAAATTGGGCCACCATCCTTAAAGACCTTTAAAGTTAATCCATCTGGGCCAGCTACTCTTCCTCATTTCAGATTGTTTATAGCTTTTGGAACTTATATTACAGTCGGAGGACCTATTTTAACGTTCCATTCAGGCTGTTTGGAAATAGTGAATAGTTGTAAAGTAGCTGAACTGCATCTTAAAGTTTTCCATCCAGTTTCAAACGTCTAGACTGAGAGCATGTAAAAGTGCCGTCATTCTCCGTGATTGTCTCACTCAAACTTAACTTCCTAAATCCGGTTTCTTTTATTAGTCTGAAAAGCTGTCTTGTGTCACCTACATCTAGTGCCTTCTCCATTTATTTTGCTTTCGTTGCCAACCACTCACTCACGATCGTTTCGTAGACTTTTGGTTAGCTTAGATGTGATTTGTTTTCGCTCTTCATCGTGTTTGGAGCATGATAGGATAGGTTTACGGGAGTCTATCAGTGCAATAGATGTCGCAGAAATCTACTGTTTTTCCGTAACCCTTTGGTTCAGATCACTAAAAAATGTCGTAGCTGTTCGTACATCTTCTCAAGCAACATCTGGGTCAGCCTCGTTTTCGAAATTGCCTGAGTGTGTCTTCAGTTGTTCCTGAAATTTAAATTTGGCTTTTATAATCGAAACTTTCTGATGGTTTTATTCACAGAAGATTGACAATTGAATAGAAATAAACAAACACTGTTGAATGGATTTTGTACAATTGCACATAATATTACACTCTAATGTAATGTAAATATTTTTCGGAAAAAAGACGTGGAAAATAACAGAAATTAATCAAAACGTCCTTGAATGTATCCAATATCGCAATTCAACTGGACAATTCGGATAAGTATCTAAACAAGCGGTGAGAATATCACTGTCTACATAACAAAATAATGGACGATAATTTGGTAAAGTAGATGATGAACTCCAAATGGCCTTATTGTTGGATCCAGTGGTTGATAGACCAGTGGATGCAGTGATTGCAGCTTTACCAGATATAATCAGTTCAAAGTCAATTAGATTGTCTAATGCTTTCATAACAACCGGTTTATCGTATAAATGACCAGGACAATTGGAACGACAAAACTTTAAGTATTCTAAGGAAAAAAGTAGAAGGAAACTGAAATACAGAGATAGCTGGGGATAAAAATAATAATTGTAGAATAACGTATATAATTTGATTATACCAAATATGAAAGTTCATGCTTCCCAAAATAAATTTGCATGACTCAGTACAGTCATAGTAGTAGTTTGAAACAGTCATTCAGTTCTTTCGATTATAACTGATTAGTCGGTTACTGAATTATACATAATGGTCATCAAATAATCCAGAAGCTCTCATTAACATCAACAGTGCTAATATGATTCGAAAAAAGTGTCAGATGAATCAGTCCATTTGTTATAAACGCTGTCAGACACTTTAATCTTGGTAGTAATGGATGAGGCTTTAGGTAATACTGGTATAACAATGAATAAGATTTCCATGCATTACAAGTAACACTTATAATCCTTATTTGTAAACCTTCAAAACAAAACAAGATGTTTAGAAAGTGGTGCATTGATAAGTCAGAGAATGATAAAAAGACAACCAAGTATAAATCCACGTACTCTATTTTAAACTAAATTTACTGTGCAAGATCGAAAGGTTTTGCTTGGCTTATTTATTTATTTAAACAAGGAGGCACTGAATATATATATATATATATATATATATATATATATATATATATATATATATATATATATATATATTCGATTTGTGTGAGCTGGGGTACTGCTCGAGAGCCCAAACCGAAGAACGTAATCTTAGAAGGCCACTACCCGAGCCTTTAACCTAGAGGTCTAATGCACAAGACAGTGGAGCAACGTCAGGAGATGCGGTCCCATGGTAGCCAGTGACCAACGATTGGTTCATACGCCATTTGTCCCCTCAGGATCCTGGAGTCAGTATGCATCAGTGATTTGGAATCAGGGTTTTCCAACTCCCCTAGGTGGATCCTCCGTATCCACTAACCCGGTTAAATTGCCATACATTCGCTTTCTGTCCTCTCAATTTCGTAAACAACATCCGCACCACGAGAAGGCAGTGAGTAGGACTTCCCTGATAGTGGCTACATACGCGTGGCCATGTGATAGCATTTTGAGAGGAAGAATGGACTCTCCCGACACGGCCGTTCTAGGGCATTCGGGAGCTATTAGATATATGAGTTAAGAAAACCTCTTTATTATTTTTCTACCGTTAACAATTTTGTTACTGAATCATACCAAAACACAATATTTAAGTATTGATTTGTAAAAGACTAACTTACCAGAATACAAACTCTCAAAGTTAACCGGTTTCCCATCATTCATATCTTGAAGTTTGACCATGGCAGTAATTAAAAATAGCTCCAATACGGAACAACCTATTGAACACGAATAAAAGTAAATAACGTGTTTCTATGTAAATGCAAGGTTTTTAATAAAATTTGATTCCAAGGAAATATAATTCAACTCAACAACCATGTAGATATTTGCATCTACAAGTTTGCTGTAAAGATACACTACGAATGCTAACTGTGCTGTCTGACTGCTCAGTCTTTCTTTGACAAAGAAAATTTGGAACCAGTGATGCACTAGTTGAAAATCGACACCTGCCATTTGAAGATTAAAAATGACGATAAAAACAAATGCTTTTATCATGCCATTTCATCATTAATTTATGACCATAAAAGTTGGCATAATTGTTTACAGTATGAATAACAAGTAAATAATATTTGGAACACGAAGCTCAATAATCAGCCGTTTGACATTTTGAAAAGTTTGGTTGGGATTTCTCTTTCGCGGTTTCGTGATTAAACATTAAATTACGTCGCCTTACTTGCCCCAATATATGAAATCTATTATTCCATCACAGAATCACCCCAATATTAACCAGAATGTCAAGGTAGCTTTATTGTTTCTTGACGGATAATACTTCATTAACAAAACATGTCAGCAAAAAAAGCAGTGCACAATAAATAAGTACTGACCTTAAATTTTTGATTTAGCAAAACATTTAAGTCAATAAAATACTAACATGGGTCACGATAGTGTGATTCTCCAAAATGGAGAGCTGAATAAAACTATTCAAATGTATCTCTTCCTATTTTTGGTAGATAACTGAACTACTTCACACTGTAATCGAACAACAATAAACGGAGCAGCAAGTAAAATGAAGTAACTTTCTACATAACAAAGAATTCACATAACTTTACGAATCACGATAACTACTGTGTTGGTCAATAAAAAAACCAGTGATACAATTTTTTGGGGCGAATCAATAAGCAGAATTCGATTCATTCATAAATTCCTATCTCCACTACATATAATTTGGTATTTTTGAAATCTTAGCTACTGTATAAATGAGGAGAAACATATTCCCTGAAAACTTGACTGTAGCAATATTATACTAATGATAACCAAGCTATTTTTGATACTAGACAATGATATTCGTTGTTTCAATAGAAATAAACAAAATTTGTGGGACACTCACCCTTCAGTGAAGTGAGCTTTGAATCTTGTTGTAATGTACATAAAGATTCTATAAATTGCACTGGTTCAATACGATCGTGTTCAGGTCCAAGTGAAGCAACTATTGGAATCTGTTCAAATGAACATGGAAAGTATTGATTTGAAAGGAACAGTACGACTTACTACACAACTGAAAAAATAAGTGTGTTTACGCATGACAATCAGACATTTTTCGCTACAAATGTATTACTTAGTAGCCTAATACATTTAAAACACTGTTGGTAACCAGTCAATCATGAATTTGGGTATATTAATCAACATACATCAGATCAACTGGGACAATAATACTGTTCAAATGATAAAAATTATTAGACAAAATAAGAAACATCGAACTAAATGTCCAATAATCTTTCAAAAAAATCATACTTTTATCAATTTTGGCATCAGTAAACAACTTGGTAGAATAAATACTTATTAATTTTGGTGGTCAAACATCAAGAAAGTAAGTTGAGGACAAAGAAACAATTTCAATTTACTTAATTTTATAAATTGGATAGCATGATACTAATGACAGGACTCAGCGACCAACCAATTGAAAATATCTTTCCCATATGTTGATGATTGCCTAAACAGCTTAGTGGTAACATTTCATACTACGAAGTTGGGTGATGAGTGTTTTAATTTCACGGAACGGGGGATTAGTTCCTGCAAAACCGTAGATATGCTTTGCTGACGAGTACTCAAATAGCAAGAAAATCTGGTCAAGTAAGGTTTCTTGTTGGTTACATCTCTAGATATTATATGGTCAGTAACTTACTACTTTGGAAAAGCTAACTTCAAAAGCGAAATCTAGACATAGTTTGTAGTTATTTAATTAGTCTACAAACCTCTTCATCACTAACAAATACACAAATAAACCTAAATACAAGTAGATATTGAGAAAAAAGCTAATTAAACATTAATACGTAAATAAAAAAAGAAAACACAAGTGGAAGGACGTAAAAACACCGTCTAAACATTGAAAACAACAATAAGGATTTAGTGGATACATGAACAAAACGTACCAACAAATTGACCAAACGTTTAATGCTCACTGAAATAGACCATGCTTGTCTTAACGAATCAATTACAATTTCATCAACCATTAATTTTGTAATATGATGATTCCACGATTTAATTGACAACTCTAATTCATGATACTCTTTAGAGTTGGATTTACACAATAATGGTGATAATTGTGGTGGTAAATCATGAATATCAACACTTAACAAATGTTTACAAATTTCACAAAATCGTTTAAATGGTTCAGATCGTGAATTATTGTTACTGTCGTTGTTGTCAGATGCATAAGAATCAGTATTCTCAATTGGTGCTCCAGGCGATGTAAGATAAATTTGACGGTGCGAGAATCTTGATTTAACTCGTTTTTCTAATAATTCCATAACATCCTATGTTATGTGGAGAAAAGAAAAAAAGGCGATATAAATATTGAATTCTGAAGTAAACTGATTCAAAAGAACACTCGGAAATAAACATCGTTATATGATTGTTAAGTTGACTACATATATTAGGGACATATGAAAAACGATAGGTTTATATCGCTAGTAAGGATATTTAACAACAATAAATGAGTTCAGAAAATAGACTATTAAGTACACCGATAGAATTGAACTTGACGATAAAACTCCGAACAAAACAGAACGAAATATATAGAATATGGTTTAAACTCATAACCTGAATCTGTACTAAGATGACTGAATAATAATCCCTATTAGTAATTGACATTTGGTGTGTTGCCAGCAGGACGTAAATTGGGATTAAAGCACATTCATGAAGAATTATGTTTGAGCACGTTGATTGGTTTATTCTTAGCCAATCAGCGCCAGTGGATAAACTGAAAGACTAAAGTTTTCTTGTGTAAAACTGTAAATATATTGATTTTTTTACTGTAAATCACTTCTATTCAACTTGGTTTATTTGGAATATAATTACGTACCTTTCCAAACCACGTTCTGATTTGAGGGACTAGTTGAGTGAGGTAAAGTATCCGATGAATACTAAACGATGAAATCATCTGATTCGGATAACAAGACTTAATAGCTACACAGTTAATATATGGCTTAGGACATCGACTTATCTATTCCATCGAGATGAATTTGAACATCACACACGACCACCACATATTGTGATCCAATTCATTCACAACATACAAGATTTATGCACAAGGCTATAAGTGCCACAATTTAGTTGTTCGGGAGATAGTAACCAACAATGGGTCCCTAAATCAAACAGGTGGATTTGGTTTTTTAATCTGTAACACCTGTTGTGATTGGAAGTCAAGTACCTTTAACCTTTAGGAATAGTTCAGGACAATATACGAAAATATCAAACAACTTTTGTGAATTTATTTTACTAAACGTAAAAAGTGCTTGAGAATTCACACAAAAAATCAACTGGAGGTGATGGATAGCCTGTTACAGAATGTGTTGAAAAAAAGTGTTACATTCAAGATGAATCTCACTACAACTAGTTTTTTGAGAAATTGTTTTTAATTTTAGAAAAGTATTAAAAACTTACTAAACGGCATGTTAGTCCAATGATACAAATACGAGATTCAGGAGATTGACAACAATCGAATAAATTGTACAACAACAACTGATTATGATGTAAAGCAAAAAGATCAAATTCACTCAGGACAATTAGAACAGCTTTTCGAGTTCCATGATTTTGACGGACCTCATTTAAGAATAAATTGAGCTGTTGAGAAAAAGGCAAATTTTTCATACTGTTGTGAAAATCAGAAGTTGGATTAAAGTCTGATTGGACTAGATTATTTAATAGGGCTTCATTATGTAGTTGTTTAGCTAGTGATTTCATAGCAGAACGGTCGTCTGTATGAATTAAACCTACGTTAAGAGAAATCACTAGTCATAATCACAAATAATACTAACCGTTCAAGTAAACTTCAGAAATCCCAGAGCCAATATTTGAGTTTTCTTTTGCTTTCTTTATTGCTTCTTTGATTAGCTAAAGCCATAAAATATACATACTACATAAAATTACATGATGTTTACCAACACCTCTTCTACCAATTATCAATATAGAGCTACTTTCACCTTTTGAAACTGTGGATGTGATAAGGTCCTGCAAATATTTCAACTCTTTATCAAAATACAGAAGGCGATGTTGATTTCCTCTTAATTTTATGCGTAATACATCACAAATCAGATCCATCTGTATTGATCAACTAGGTCAAATTTTACGAACTATAGTCTTCACTGTATTCGGTCAATGATGAGAAGCTAAAGCAAGTACAAAAGTGGTTGAGGTGTATATAAGATTCTGAAAATGTGAATATTGAAATTAGAAATAATTTGTGAGTAAACTACTAATGGAGAATCAATTAAATCTGAAGTTACCAGGATCTGCGTTAATGCTGACTGGTTACTAATTGGTATCATCAGAAAGAGTAGAATAAGCAACGACATTTTTTCGTAAATTGATTAATCAAAACAGTTATCTGAAAATACCTGGATGTTCATATATGACGGATAATCGATATAGCTACTCTTCGACAATCGCTGACATTGTACATGATCATGACTACTGTTCTGTTAGTAGCGACTCTGTGGAGTTAGCAGTTTTAAGCGTTACTGATAATCAGTGAACAAATGACTATTTCTTGAGTTCAGACAGGACTCATGCGTTAAAAGCTATGTCTCATCGAAATATCCTCAATTTTAATAAAGGCGAGACTAATTTATGGACGAGCCAATCAGAAGCGTCTTAGAGATTTCAAGGTTACAGCGCCAACTTCAGTGCTTAATGCTAACGTACGATTGGTCCTCAGGGAATTTTGTACAAAACGTGATAAATGAGCGGCTATAACAAAAACAACGGCGAGACTATAATTTGTGGACGAATCGATCAGGTACAAGATAACGCGAAAGCCTTTCATCCATTTGGCTTAATAAATTTCTGGAATTAGAGCTGATGTCAGTTCGTGATGAAAACCCCATATATAATTCCAAACTACGGCAAATTACAACAATTATTGCGAAACGGATAATAAAAGTACCAGTAACATTGGTTGCAACCAGGTACCACAATATATACGGATGTTTGGAGCGCGTACAGACTCCTACATAGGCTTGGTTATGGCATCGTATCGTTATCCACAAGTAGCATTTTGTGCACTCAACAATCGGAGTGGACATAAACAATATTGAAGCTATATGGTCGAGGCTGAAGGAGTTTTTGAGACTTTATCATGGCTCCAGAGGCCGACTACTCTGTAGCCGTATGGACGATTTCCCCTACTGCATGCATTACGATTTTAAAACCTATGAATCTCTTTCTAACCTTGACAAGTTTTTGAACCACGTATAAGGATTGTATCCACATTATTTCCCTGGTTATGCATAACATATTTTTACTTTATATTGACTGTTTGCTAATTAGCTAGTATCTCTCAAGGTCACTGAAGATTCGTTCAAAGGTCGTCCATAAATTAGTCTCGTCAAATACATTAGTCAGACGTTGAAAAAACACCCTCAAGCAGTAATTTGAGAGTAGAAATGATCAAATGTTTTTTTACTACTTTACCTTCACATGATATTGTCACAGTATCAGAACAACAAAAGGTCAGTAGACAAACAGTAACTGTTCGTACTCAAATTTTTCTAAGCCCTGCTTGCAGTCACAACCAGGAAGGAGAGGTAAAACATGAAAATTACTGTCACAAAAATTTGATACAGTGGTTGAGAAGAGACCTAAATTTACTAATATCACGACTTTATCGTCTACATGTGCAGAAAGTCATCAGTGGAACACATTATTAATAAAGCAATAACATCCCACTAGCTTTTGTTGAGAAGGCCATTTCATCGAGAACAGAAGAGTCTGATTTAATTTTAAAGATCGAAGTCAGATGATTTATTATTGAAACAATAACAAAACGAACAGACTATGTTTTTTACTTTAGGAACCAATTTTCTTTCGTTACACTTAAGTTGGTCATCATTAATCAAGGCACAGAAAAATTTCATGATTAAGATTTTGAAAATGCCTTTAACAGGGATATAATGCGAAACACAGTTGTAAGTTCCCACTGTACGCGGGAATTTCCTTTAGAATCTCCACGTCTGACTAGCAATAACTAAACCAGAAGTTTGTCGTAAGTCTACACAGAACTGAGTTTCCTTAGAAAATTAAGTAGGACAGAAAAAACCACGATGATAACTGCACACCTGACCAAGAGCAAGCCTCAATTAGTAGAAATCAAACCCCTGAGAACTACAAAACAGCGGCCTCAAATACGAGGAATTAAAAGACAGGGTAAGATCATAATCTATGGACGAACCAATCACATATAGGATAACTCACACAAGCATCCACCTAAATACGGCAATAATAACAAGTACTTGTTATTTTGAGGAAGTCCCATAACTTTTCGGGGTTTTGTGTCATTTCCTCACAATTTTCTATAGCGGCTTTCCTACAGTTTTCCCAAAACGGATGAAATTTTCGCCAAGATTTGGAGATTGAGAAGCCGAGAAATGATAGATATGAAACAAAATGCATTAAAACGTTACGATTTTCATGAAGACGACCCAACGTTTCGCATAGGCTTCGGTCCATGTAGTTATTCACTAAGTACCTGTCATATTGTGTGGTTTAAAGGACTCTGTTTAGCGATGAAACTAGCAGATTATAGACAGATACTCAGTGTTGATATGAAAATAACAAAAGCGAGTCACTAAGAGCCAAAGGATACAGAAACACTTAAGCTACTAAGCACTTACTTAAACCCTACAACTTTACAACGCGCGCGTATTGCTTTCTTGAGCATCTTTGAGGTATTCAAACGTCATCTAAACTTATCGAAGGTATGAATAACATGCAAAGTTGTCACTGAGAAACATCGAGTTAAATATATTTAAAAGGTCAGTGGTACTGTTTGTCGTTAAGTTAAATTAACTGATTTGATAGTAAATTACGCATCAAAACTACTGTTTACACTGTGGAGATATGACTGACAAGCTTATTTTGCAAATTGTTTTTATTAATATTTGTGTTCATTCTGTTAACCTTTCATTGTATGTATATTTAACATTAATGACCGTAACTGTTGTTTTAGTAAATGACCTTGAACACTTTCCGTTGTGATCCTAACATAGCGTGACATATTCTTGCTGGCTAACAAATACACTGCTACCCACACGTTCCTCGTTCTATCTTCGTTTGTGATTGAGTTAACTGAAGTCTAAATCAAATACTATCTACATTTATAGACTGTAATTGGAATATATCACATCCTACGTTGGATTATATCACTGGGGAGTTCGTCAACCAAATCGGAATTACCAAGCATTTATAATTATGGTTTCTTAATACCAGACCAAAGCCGAGCAAGCATCAATTCGGTGAACTTAAGTAAAGTCCCAACTTTCTATTGTATTTGTAATAATTAACTTATATTGTGGTGGACCAGACGATCTAAAAAGGCAAAAAGTATCAACAAAGTTAATAAAGATCAATAGAAATGTTAATATTTATAAGTTAAGGTAGTGATGGTATTCCCTCGTTACTGTTACCGATTTGCTAGCTGAATCAGATCGGGCGAAAAGCTGAGACTTTTCAAACTATTTTAGCGAAGTCTACTCTACGTTTATTGTAACAAATACTTGTCCCACTCACACCGAGATACCAGCCATTGAATCTGTGCAAGTGACTCTGGAAACTATCCTTCTGTTGATAACTAGCCTCAAACCTTGTAAGATGCCGGGCCCTGACGGATTACATCCATGGTTGCTGTCATCTCTTGCGGACATTATTTCAAAACCGCTTGCGACACTCTTCAACATGTCCATTTCACATGCTCAACTACCTAGAGATTGGAAAGATGCTAAAGTCAGCCCTATATTTAAGGAGGGTCAGAGACAGATCGAACTTTACTACTGGCCTTTCAGTCTAACTAGCGCTATCGTTAAGTTGCTTGAAAAGATAATTCCGGTTAGGTTGCCAAGCCACATAGATTCACATAATATGTTAGCTCCTGAGCAACATGTATTTCGTAACGACCGTTCATGCTTGACTGACTTACTTTTTGCGAGAGAGGATTAGACAGCAGCCTTAGATAAAGGTCTGTCTACTCTTCCTTCTCTACGTTCATGAGTTGCCACTGTTACTTAGGTCGTCGACATTATTGTTTGCGGATGACGTAAAAATATTGAGAACAGTAAAAAGTGCGGCTGATCATCTGGATCTTCAAGCTGACTCAGACAATTTACTTAGATGGGCTCGAGAGTGGGGCTTAGAAATCAATGCTAGGAAGAGTGTGCTAATGCACATCGGTCACGGTAATAGTTACCGTTACACTATTGAGGGTAAACCTCTTCCATGCGTTCAAGAGCATAAGGACTTAGGAGTAATATTAAGTCATGACTTAAAAACAACTACGCATTGCAGCGTAGCCGCTGTCAAAGGTTTTCGTGCGTTATGGTCACTTCGCCGAGCGTTCAAATCTTTTGACGAGGAAACGTTTCGAACTTTATATCCCATATATATTAGATCACATTTAGAGTACTGTATCCAAGCAGCTAGCCATGTCTGGTAAAGGATACTAACTCACTTGAGCGTGTCCAGCGTGTGGGAATGAAACTAGTGGAGGGTCTTTCTAGACTCCCTTACGATGAACGTTTAAAACGCCTAGATCTTTTGCCCTTGTCGTATGGTAGGACACGAGGTGACCTTATACTGGCATTTCGTATCTTTAATTATGATTTGGGTGTTAATATGTCCTATCTTTTTGCTCCCTCCAGCACTACTAATCTCCGAGGTCATAGCAAGAAGCTTCATAAACCGCGATCTAATAAACCTAAAGTGGGGTCCCGTTTTTCTCATCGAGTAGTCAATGATTGGAACGCCTTACCCGAACAAGTGGTATCAACCCCATCAGTGAATATTTTCAAGGAGAAGCTGGAACTTCAGTGGAATGCGATCTGTCAGGATTAACACTAGCTAACCAACCTTCTATCCTTATTACTGAAGACTGAAGACTAAAAGAAAAAACTTATCTGTCATTTGATTAGGGTTGTAGCGTCTGGACTTTTATCATATAGCTAGAATCATTTTTTACCATAATAATAACTCTATTCTTCTCATAGGAATTTTCAACCTTCAGTACACACACGACTTATGTTCATATCCTTGTAATCTTACGCATGTGCTCCTTTTGGTTACATGTATTTACATCTGTCACTCATTGTGCTATCCGAATCCTGTCTCTGTTACAATACTGATCATCTGTTCTAGGCCTTACGAACGCTTGTAGTGAGTTTGACAGACGAGTTAGCTGGCTTTCCTTCTGCACTTCGCCTCATCTTCTCGTTTCGCATTTCAATGAGTGTCTGAATATAGTAGTGGATTGTAGGTTCAGTGAAAAGTCACTGAGCCCTAGCCAAATCATCCGGAAGTTGTGTTACTGAAAATCGATCAAATCATCGACCCTCGTTAAGGTCAAGGACAACCAACGCGCATCAGTTAGTCCTACGCCATGGGCTGGCCAATAAGGATGTGGTTGTAGTGGCATTGGACAATAGCCACACAATCCACAAAGCTGTGAACACGAGACTACTCAGAAAATAGATATTCAATATTTAACTCGGGGAAATACCTAACAATGGAGAAGGCGCGGAGAATGAATTGAATGGACTGGGTTTGATCGGATGGCATGGCTCGTCCATGCAGGCGTGGTCCATCTCAATGTTACTTTATA